GTGTTCATGGGGGTCAGGGGTCATGTACCTTGTTTTTGAGACTGCCTCTTGTTGGTCTGGGGCTCACCGACTGTGGTAGCTCTGGGGATTTGCCTGTCTCTGCTTCTCCAGGGTTGAGATCATAAGCACACTCATCATTTAGCCATGGGTACTGGGGTCAAACTCAGGTCTTCATGCACTGAGCTTTCTTCCTAGCCCAAATGTCTCAAATTTTAAATGCTGGCATCTGGTTCAACTATTAACTACCATGGATAAAACACAATACTTACAGGTCACTGGTTTGCAGCCTTTGGGAGAGGTGAGGCCTCCAACTGCAGAATTTCAGATAGAACCATCCTAGAGTTCCGGGTTCTTCTTTCTCTTCCGGGACCAAACTCCAATTCCCTTACCACAGCAAAATCTAGCTAGCCTAGAAAGCAATCTCTGTACCCCAAATTTAACAAAGATTCTAAGATACAGCTCTGTCTAGGCTGGATCTCATAGTCTGCCTGCCTCAGCCTGAGTGGATTACAAATGGGTGCCACCATGCAACTATTGCGTTTCAGTAGCATTACAGACAACGGGCCAAGTTTTAGTCATATACATTTGTTCTTAAATATTACTATTATTTGTGTGTGTGTGGGAAATCAGTTCTCTTCTACCTGTTGAGGCAGGGCTTCTCTGTGTACTCCAGGCTAGCTGTTCCAGCAGCTTCCAGGCAAGTTTCCTGTCTGCCTCCTACCTCCCTGCAGGAATGCTGGGATAACAGGCATTTACCCAAGTGGTCAGTGCTATGGTTTGAATTAGAGTTCCTCCAAAACCATGATGAAAGAAATCCACAATGCACTGCATTAAGAGGTGGGATGATTTACACAGTGTATGGATTATTACCTTTATTCAAGTGTCTGGGGGAACTAGCTAGCTGCTTTTGTCATTCTGTCCCTTCTGTTATTGGGAACATTAAACAGCACCAATATATACCATCCAGAGGGGAAAGTCTCTCTCACTGCATACCAAATGTTCCAGGGCCTTTTGAATTCCAGTACCCAGGACTGTAAGATCTATCCATCTACCTATCTTATTATTTATAAATTATTTATCTATCTACCTATTTTAGTTTATAAATGATCTATTTTACTGTTTCTAAACTACCTACCTACTTCAGGTTATTTTATCACAGAATGAATGACTGAGGCAGTCAGCTTTCTTTTTGAGACAATTCCAACACTTCTCTACATGCCAAATCCAAACATTCAAAGAAAAAGCCTAGAGCAGGTCCTTGTGACTGAACACCAAGGATCTGTAAATACAAGTGTGGCTCCTCTGAAGGAAGAGCTCCCTGCTGGAGCAGAAAGGACACAGGCTTTTCTAGGCCCCTCTCAGTCCTGCTAAGAAAGAGTGAGAAAGACCAATGGAAGACTGCTGAGGCACTAATAACCCAGCCCCAGCTCCGCCCTCACATTATACACTCCAGGCTTTGGGGACGGGAATAAACTCTCAATGAAACCTTTGTTCCTATCATCATTCTTTTTATTCCAAAGTAGATGAATTACAGACTTCAACTTTTCAAATGTAACATCTGGGTAGTCTGGGATATTCACAGCATCTTGCCAGACATCATGACAAAGGGACACACAATCTGGGCCCAAACATATCTGCTCTGTAAAACAGAAAGTGAAAAACAAGTAAAAGTGTAACCACATCTCAACTTCTTTTTTCTTTTTAAATAACAGATTTTTTTCATTTTCTCTTTTGTTTCCCCTCATTCCTCTTTTCACACTATGAATGGTCTTCACTCCTTGGTAAAGAATCATTTCCGTTTTCAGGGTCGTCAACCTTCTTCTGGAACTAATGTGCTGTTCTGAAAGAAAATGAACACAGACACAGTCACTGATGGTTTCGGCCGACGGTTATGGTTCCTAGTGGGACAAGAGGGAGACCGAGTGGTTCTCCCACTGGAAGAGGTTACTGACAAGGAGACAGCCCTGGTTCTATTGGTTCCATTTATACATGCCCCATCTCACTTCAAAAACTGGAGCCCACGATGGCTTGAAAACCCTGAGTCAGCCCTGACACTAAGGAAGGAGCATGTGGAAGTACAGAGAGGTAATTCCAGGCACACCCTCACAGTATAGGCCGAAAGACGGAGGAAGGTTAACCCTGCCAGTGCAGACTCGGGATGAGTCTGGATAACAGCACTTGGCTCACGAGAACCATCACTACTTTTATTTGTCTCATTTTCATTTCTTCCTGATGTATAGGTTGGTTAGTTGGTGGTTGGTTTTGGTTTGAGGTAAGGTCTTGTTATGTAGCTCATGCTGGCCCCAAACTTGTGATGCTGCCTCAGCCTCCTGAGTGCTGGGAGGCGCACTTCTCAGACGATGAGTGTCTCTCTGCCACTTTCTTCTCACCTTCCCGACTCTAAGAGCCGCAGAAGCAGAAGAGAAACTGATAACCCAAAGAGAATGCGGCCAGGTGGCAGCAGCAAGCACGCGGCAAGCAGAAGCAGCTCTACCTCCTCAGCGGGCAGTGGTCACGGTGAGGACCGGAGCGATGATGTCAGCTCAGAAGGGCAGGCTGCAAACCAATTGCTAAAGCGGTGCCCAGGAGGGCACACAGGCACAGTGCTGGGTCCTGAGGACCAGAGTGTGCGTTTCTAATTCCTTACCAATGCTCAGAGCTTCCTAACACCAGGGTGTGTGCCTGGCAATGGATACTGCCACAACCATGCTGCAAGGACAGCAAAGGTATGAAACCAGGTGGTAGAATCAGCAACCCTAGACCTTGGCCAAGAACAGAGACCATCCACTATACCCACTCAAACTGACAGGTGGCCTCAGCTGGCAGCACTGAGCCACAGGGGGTAAGCCTGCACACTTGGTCCCAGCCCTACATGTCCCAAAGGCTCCAACAGTCGAGACTCAGGCAGCAGGAGGGTCAGAGAAAGAATGAAAGAACTCAACAAGCTGCAAAGGACTAGTTCTGAAGACAAACACTTCAAACAGAGCAATTAAAATTGAGGGCAGAACTGAAGGAGGAAGGCCAGGACCTAAGGGTGGCGGGAGGGAGAGCCTGCAGGAGCACAGGGGAGCCTCAGACTGCGGTGAGTCTCTTACTGAGGCGCCAGTCACATGGCGACATGCTTATTTTTGTTTGTTTATTCATTATTGATTTAGACATGGGGTCTCCTATAGTCCAGGAGATATTAAACTCCTCACCCTCCTGCCTCTGCCTTCAAATGCTGGGATTATAGGTGTAAGCTACCACGTCTGGTACTATACATCGCTTAAACCTAGAAAAACAAACAAAAACCAACCTCCTAAAAAATGCCATTTTCTCTCTGTGTTAAGGACAAGGTCACCCAGCTTCTCCACACTAAACTGAGAAAGCTCTGAAGCCTGTTTTTGTTGACTTTTCCTATTTTCTGAGGCCTAGAACTTTTCTGAGGACCAGGTGTGCTGGGGTTTGCTTTCTGTCTTTGGAAGGGAAAGCTATTTCTAAGGCAAGGGATAAAAGGAGACATGATGTGAAAATGAAAATACCTCTGTTCTACTTGTGCTTTAAGGCAGAGGTCAGCCAATCACACCACACAGGCCCAATCCAGCCCACCTCCAGGCTAAGGAGATGGTGCCACGCTCTCGTTTGCATGGCCCATGGGTTTACATGACAGTGCTGCACTGAGGGAGATAGGAGTTGTAACATACTGGACAAAAGCCTACACCAGCATGGCCTCCCCCCAGAATTCCTCAGGGCCCCTCACCTACAGGAGCAGAGCCATCAAGCAGCACCCCGCCTTTGCTCTGGTGCTCGGTGACTTTTCCTCCCCAACAAGAGCCCTCAGAAGGAGGACAGCTGTGTGCCACGCCCTGAGCTCCAGGCACGATTCTGCTGTTGCTTTGATCCATGGTCATCAGTCACTCACAACTGAATCTCACCAAATCACATCGTTTGGCCAAGTAGAGATTAGTGTTTATGGAAAGGCCTAGAAGTAGTGACAAGGTGTGCCAGGAGTTGCCATGGGACCACTGTTTAGTGAATCCATGTAGTCTGGGTTGATGAGGCCCTTGTCAAGAAGCCCAGGTTAGACTTGTCTTATCCACCAGTATTCTATGGGGAAGTTGCCCTGGTCCAGTCACAACCTCAACCAGCAAGCTGTAAAACGGCCTCCGAATTCACTCTGGTGTAGGGAATGGTGGGAGGAATGAGCGGGCTGAAAACAGGACAGTAACTAGCATGCATGGAGTAGGCAAGATGGGAAGGGAGCCTGCATCTGGGACGAGTCGCCCTTCATCTTTACCGTAGTGTCCTATATTTTGCCAATCTACTGCTCTGCTCTGCAGCGATCCTGCCAAAGGAAAGAGGGTTTGAGAATCAAGAAAGGACAGAGAGAGAGAGAGAGAGAGAAACAAGTGAGGACACATGGTAAACCCGACCACTGCTCCTGTCCAGGCTGGTCCTCTTCCCAGGCAGCACAGGCTGTGAGACTCGTGAAGGGACCGAGGAGTGTGGGGGGAGCCACCGGGCCTCCAAAGAGTCACGACTCTTTCCAGCAAGTGCGTAAGAGTCGGGGTTCACAGCAGGAAGGCTTGCTGCATGGACTCTATAGGGAATGGCTTCTCACACCGCTCTCCCCATGACTTTGCTGGTCTTGTGGACCATTCCCAGAGAAGAGAAAGTTAGCCAAGCCCAGCTTTCTGCTCCTTGGGACCCAGACTGGTTGCTGCAAGGGAACCGTGTTCTGCTGGGAAAAACCACCGAGCCCTGGCCCTTTCTAGATGCAACGCACAGGGGCAGGAGTGAAGCAGCGACTGGGGCACCGCGGGCAGCCCTGGCGGGACCCAGACTGGCACAGGAATTCGGGAATGTCGGCACAGGAGCTCACAGGGGGGCACTCCCAAGCTCACAGTGACCCCGACCCTGCCCGGTCATCAGTGGTCCCCTCGATAACACCCTTCCGGATCAAACAGACCTAACTGGCAGTGTGTTTAAGGGCACGTGACCGAGTTCCATTCTGCCAGCCTAAGTCCCAGAGGGGAGAAAGCAGGGTGCGTCAGAAAATGATTTCTTTCAAAGGTGAAAGCAATTCTGACCTTTTCTTATTGGCCTTTGCGTGGCTGAAATCAGTCAGGTTCTAATAAAGTCAAATCAATGAGAAACACCTATGTGACATTTAAATTTGCCTCCAATTCTGTTCTGAAAGTCAAGCTGCCACCACATCAAGGTCTGAACATTTGTTTGCCTCTCAGGCTGTCTGACTCCTGGGTAGCAGTGTGGGCCTTTGAGTGGATGCTCCTGCTGGGAGCTGCTGCCAAGCTTACACAACTGCCGAGGGGCAGAACACAAACCTGTGGGTAGGAGGAAGAGTTCTGGCACCATCCAGAGCCCCAGAGGTGCCATGGTGGGGGCACAGGAGAGAGCAGGGCAAGAGGGCTTTCCACCACGTATCTAACACACTTTAGTCAACTTAATGCAGTTCTTCCTCCTTTCCTAATGTGTAGGACAGACTTTAACATCTACAACTAGTCACGAAGGTTACTTTCCTCTTTACAAGACCTGCTTATGGCTTCTCTAACAGGCTGGGTGGCTATCATTCTGCCACATAGCTTTACGGTCTCAGAGCTAGGCTGGCAGTGCCCACACAGACATCTCTTATCCCACCCTGGAGCTTGGTCCATCCCCAGCCTCACCTCTTGACTGCCTGCTGGGCCAACATTCGATTGCCAGCCAGAAATGTCACAGTGCCCAGGACAGCCAGGTACTTCAGGGTCTGGAACATGTTGAGCTGAGTCCAGTACACATACATGAGCCCCAGCATCGCTACAAGAAGTGTCATGACATCCAATTAGACAAAGCAGTGACAACGGGAGGAGAGCAAGGAGCAGGACCTGTGTGTCAGAAAGGTCCGTTTTTCTAGGCAGCTGTTATCTCAACTGCAGAAAGTAGATGACTCAGTAGATCTGCTCTTCAGCCTTGTTTACCAAGAAATCTAGAGTAAAAATCTGACTAAAGTACTACCGCTCTCCCATCTACAGGCCTGTTCCCGTCTACTCTCTGCTTCCTTCATGAAGGGCTATGTCTTTATAATATTTGAGATAATTTTATGTTTCAAATTTTTAATAAAAACATTCAGGACATGAGTCATTTCCTTTTCATTAGAACCATACCAAGAATGATCTGCCATTGTGGCTAGGATGTGAGCAGGGAGGCCTGGGAAGGCTCAGTGGAAAGGGCTAACTCGGTAAGACCCAGACACTGAGAGTCCTGGGTTTTGTACAAGCTCCATCCTTACCAGCTTGTAGTTTCTCGAAGACCAAATTCTCTTACCATCAAATGGACCATAGTTCCAGCCCCAGTGACCTCAATCAGGGTTGAATAATGAGAATCAAATGAGGAAACACATACAAAAGCACCCTGGCACAAAAGTCAGGGTTCTAAATCCATTTCTCTTCAGGTCTTGCTCCTAGCCTGACCCAGGAAGGCTGTCACTTAGGTCCAGTAACCAAGTGGGGGAGAAAGGTCATTGTGCCAGTTCCGCCCAGGACGGCAGACGAACTACCACAGAGGTGCTTAAGCATTTTTGAGGTCATGGACCACTGTGAGAATCTGATCAAAGTTACAGACTCCCTTTTCTCAGAAAAATACAAATGCACCTTCGCCTGGAATGTCAAGAGGTCCTATGGACCACTGGAGTAGCCATGTACTGTGGATGCAGAGATGGTGACTCCTCGGAGAGGCAAAGGAATTAAAATACTGAACTTTCCAGTGAGATGCAAAGGCTTGGAAATGCTTACCGATCTGGGAATTTACTGCCCTGTTATGTTTCGGTTGTTTAGAGTCTGCATCCTCCAAGAACAATGGAGGACAGTGTGTCTGATGGAGGAAGGGATTGTTTTCTATTATTGTCCAGAGAGAGCCGCCAACAAATGTGAGGATCGATGTGGTGGGGAAAGGTAACCTTTGGAAACTATTAAATGCTCTTCATCCAGGAAGATGGCTCAGTGTAAAGACACGCTAAGTGAGTAATCTCTGGAAGTGAACAGGGCTATTAAATGAGGGTAAATGGTTTGCCACAGCCCCTCCAGTACAATGAGGCCCAACAGAGTGGCAGCTGTTCTCAGCTGATGGGCCAAACAGGTTTATCATCATCATATTAACTGTCCTAAAGGCCAGGAGGAAGAGGGAAATGTTATGCTATTAAGCCATTATAGTTAATAGGTTGTGGACCTACTTAACAGAGCTTTTTTGTGGGCAGGCAAAATGTCAGAGGAGGTTAAATGGAATTAGCAGCCTGGGGCACTTACCAGCATGTCCCAGGTGAAAGATAATCGTGCTAGGAGCAAAAGTGAAGTTGGAGATATTGGCACCAATCCGGATCCACTGAATGATGGAGAAGTAAATGAAGATTAGACTGTGAAAGAGTTCTATTACAACATGAAATGGTTCTCTACTGTGCCAGCATTGATCCAATGGCGAGCACCAGAGCTTCCAAGTTCACACACACTAGAAAGACAGGGACTTTCCAGACGACAATCACCCTATTCTGAGTCCTCAAGAACTGTCCCTTCTTCCTTCTGAAAGGCAGCAGAGTAGCTGCTCTCAACTGGGCGTGGGTAACTCAAACCCGAGCATCATTTTCAACGATGGCAAACTCTTCTATTTTAAAAAAGGCAAGACCATGGAGGCAAAGGTCAGAAGCTACATTAATGAGGATGTGACTGACACTTCCACTAAGTTCTGCAGGGCTGGTACCATGAGCTACAGGCAGCAGGAACATGCTCTCATGTTGGACTCTGTGCCTTCTGAAACTCTCTCACCCCAATATAAGAACACCCCTTCCCCAGGTCTGTTTATGAAAGCTTGTGGCATGCTTCTAGATTTAATCACTCTTCTTTGTTGAAAAATCAACCAGTTAATTTAAAACATAGGTAACCTGCCAAAAATAATATCTAAAAATTTTTTTGTTTTATCTTTTCTTTTTTTTTTTTTTTTCTTTGAGACAGGGTTTCTCTGTGTAGCTCTGCACCTTTCCTGGATCTCACTCTGTAGACCAGGCTGGCCTCAAACTCACAGAGATCCGCCTGCCTCTTGCTTCCCAAGTGCTGGGATTAAAGGCGTGTGCCACCACTGCCCGGCTAAAATTTTGTTTTTTGTTTGGCAAAACTCTGAACTTTGAGGTTATGTACCTATGTTTATGATTTTCAGAGAAAGGAAAAATTTAAATTGGTTAAAATACATAATCCCAGCACTCTGGAGGCAGAGACAGGTGATCGCTGTGAGTTCAAGGCCAGCCTGGTCTACATAGCCAGTTCCAAGACAGTCTTAAAAAAAAAAGTGTACCAGGTGTAGTGGTGCGCACCTTTAATCCCAGCACTAGAGAGACAGAGGCAGAGGGATCTCTGAGTTACAGGTCAGCTTGGTCATAGATAAAGTTCCAGGACAGCCAAGGCTATACAGAGAAACCTTGTCTCAAAAAAACCCCAAATTACATGTATGTATATGTGCATGTATATACAAAACACACACACACACACAAATAAACATTACTATTAAAATTAAGAATTTCCTTCCTTGACAACCTCCAAGTCTCCTCCTCAGAGGTGACTAACATTAATACAGTTGTAAAAACTTTTCCACAAGAGGATTACACTAAACGTACTCACCTACCTCCTTGCCCGCCTCTTTCTGTAACACCTGCTGGCATCAGTGTACAGATCTGTCATTCTGCTAACTGGCACACCGTTCCATTGTGTGGGCAGACTAATTAACACTGCTTCTAAGTGGACTTTCAGTTCATTCCGGTTTCATGCTCCCAGGAGATCTGGAATGCATAGCTTGTTCTCCATTCTTAAAGCTATCAACACTGGCCTCGATTTTTCCTTTTCTCCACACTTGATCTCATCTGAACACTCCCCCAGAGGACCTCAGACTGTACACTTCTGTCACTGTCAGAAGCTGCTGGAATTTTCTCAGGCTCCCTTCTTAATGGATGGGTTGATTTGGCTTCCCCCCCACCCCCGCAGTGGGGAATTCTGGTTATTCTAAAACTTTCTGACTATTAGTTCAAGTCACAGCTGCTGGACCCCTCCAGAGCTGTACTCAGGCCAGAGCACAAAGACTCTTTTGGAACGGCTCCATCTGTCTTCCTAGAGCCAGACACACTGCCCATGCTAATCACAGTGACTCACCAGCGCAAAGAGCAGGAGCAAGGGCGAGAGAATGAGGGCTGTGAACGTGTTGGACACCACCGTGGGGGGCCTCTTCTCAGGCTCTCGGAACAGGTGCTGCCAAGAGAAGACACACCAGCAAGTTTCAGAATGTGCCCTTCTCAGCAGGGGCTGCCTGTGTTCCAGAGACCAAATGCCAACCACTGTGGAGAGGAAATGTCTCCTTGAGATTAAGCCTTTGGCTGGTCTCTCTTCCCAGGGCACTATTTTGGTTCCAGACAGTATATGGCCAGCCTTTCTACCTCAAAGAATCACTGCCATTTAGAGGCTGGAGAATGCAGACCACCAAGGGCCACCTGGCTTGTGTCAAAAAGGAGGCTCAGGCCTAGGGATGGTTTGGATGTTGTACCCAAGGACTCTGGACTTCAAAACACTTCTGGGTTCCTAGGTTACGGTACTTGGTCAACTAACAGTAATTCCACTCCCACTTTAAAATTTAACAGAGCCTCATTAACAGATGATCCAACCTTACTTCACTCTTTTATTTCCAGCCATGGCTCTACAGATGGAATGAACAGATCACCCCCATCAGCTCTGCTTAACATCTACAGTTAAACCAGAAAGCTGGCTAGCACGCCTCTGAGACTCGTTTCATTTTTTCTTGAGCAATCAGTGAACTCTGAGCCGTTCACTTCAACAGCATGAGCTAGCAAAGTAGCAATGATCTACTTAGGTCCAAACAGATGTTTGGCCATGAGACCAACGGCATGTTACTCTCTGCCTCAGTTTCTAGGTAAAGAGATGGGAGTAGGGAGAGCCACAATCACTCTACTAGGCTTGTAAAAGATCCTGTGAGGAACAAGTGGTCTTAATACTGTGTACTCCTATCCTTTCAAATATCTCTCCTTCTGGATAGAAACCATGGCCTCTTTCCACTTGCCAATTACCTGCCAGCACAGCTCCGTGAGAAGGCAGCAGGACTTGAAGCTCCAGTCCCTAAATTTTCACCTTGGCTCCTCTCTTGCTGACAATCTCTTAAGGGATTGCCAATGCTGTCTATAGTGGCTGCTGCCACCTGCTCCCCCAAGGAGATCACCCAGCTTCCTTCACTGTCAGCCAATATTGCTTTGTGACTATATTTTGCATTCCTAAACAATATCATGGACCATGACAAAGATATAGAATGAACCCTTCTATCCCTCCCTTGGGCACCTGTCCTTTATTTTATTGGTCGGAACTTATGATCCTCCTGCCTCCACCCCACTGATGCTGGGATCCAGGTCTGGGCCACCACACCTGGCTGTCGTCCATTATTCTAGCAGTGCAATGAGAAAGGAGCCTGTGTTTTCACCCTTTACACCCACTCACAAGTGGGCTCCACGCTGCTACTATGACTGAATCTCACAACTGCAGAGCGGTCCACCGAGGGACCCACCTCACGTCCCTGACAACTGTGTGTTTATTCTATGAGGGTTTCAGAGATACTGCAGAGATTTAGCTGACTTGCCCCACCCACTTTCCAGAGAGGCCAAGTTCACACCATAAAGCACCATGCAAACAGGCCGAAGGGCCAGAGCCACAGCCCAGAAGTTCGCTGCTCTCTCCCTGGCTCCACCTCAACTCTGGGCTGAGTGGACAACATCTTTGGAATATACCTGAATTTCCTGCTTTGGGGTAAAAAGGTTCTGGGACAGGACGGTGGAGGGAGCTTCTTCTTCAGGGAACTTGATAACCACATCAGCCTGAAAAACAAGAATAGTTTTTAGAGGCACAGAGTGAGAAGAGGGCAAAAGCCATGATTGAAAATGCTCTCCGCGGTCCAGTCACTTCTCATCCATTAGCTGACAATCAGAGGCAGTGAAAATCTCAAGAACAAACATAGCATTTGCCCAAAGTGCCTTTTAGAGCAAGGATTCCAATTTCCCAGGACTATAGTGGGAAAGCCCACAGAGCTGCTTAATACGAAAACCCCAGCAGGTGTACCGGTGGCTACAGCTATAATCAGAAATCGCCAAGTGTCCCGGGAAGTGTGATTTAAGCACATAAAAAATGAAAATGCATTTCATACAAAAGTTTCTTCAAGTCCTGGAGAAGAAAGAAATCTTGAAAATAGCAGGAAAAAAGGCGCTGCCCTTCATCAAGCACGAAGACCAGCCTATCTGACTGCTACATCTGCCGTCTGCCATATTCCCATCCCATCACTTCCTGCTCCTCCACCAGACTCAAGACTCAGAAAAACAGAAGTCTTCATCATCTCCCTGAACCAAGTTTCTCTGGAAGCTGCTCCTCAACATGTGCTCCCAGATGCTATTCCAGGAAGGCCCGTGATGCCTCAATTCCTTGCTCCAAAGCTGTCTTACAATGTGTCTGTTATCAGAACTATCAAAACAGCAAGGCCTGTAAGGGCAGAGCCGTGTAACCTATAATATAATCTGTAACTACTGGACATTATTTATTAGCATTCTGCTCATCTACAATTCACCACTCACTGCCCTCTTCTTCCCCAGGCTATAACAGATCTCAAAGGCCAAGACCATATTTCTTCATTTATGTATCCTCCACAGTGCCTTGATGTAATAAGAAAACCTCTTTCCAATAGAATATTATAGAAGTTCATGGAACGTGGATATTTCATTCACTTGATCAATACTTATTAAGCATGCACTAGATGCTAAGCCACAGTGTTATGTGTACAGCAGAACACAGAGCCTCATAGCAACCCTCACCTCCACACCTATCATCCACATACCACGTTCCAGAGGATTGGGTTCTTCAAAGTGGCATCTCCGATGATTAAGTAGAGTGTGTAGGTGCCAGAGGCAGAGTCAAACTCAATCTTTCTTTCAGAGGTGTCCAGTTCAAACTTATACACATTCTTGTTATCTGGCTCTGCAACAAACACCACTTCCTGGCCAGTCTTCTGGTTATGAAGTCGAACAAATGTCTGGAGAGGAGAAGAAGAAGACCACCTTCCATCTGACCATCTCAGAACTCCCTGTGGCCCACACTGAGTCAACCAGGAACAGAGTGCTACTCTTCTGTCACAGTGAGAGCTCTGACCTGCTCCTGAGAGGGGAGGGAGCAGCCATCCCACCCGAGTTCCTAGCCTGGAGACAACTCTTTGCTTGAACAAGGAGAGACTGAGCTGAGGAGTGCAGCCAATGCTCAGAGACTGGGAGGCTGAAGGCCCTGATCGTCTGCCCTCGGCTGCTGCAGTCTCTTCCTGCCACTTTGCTGCCCAATTAACTTCTTCAGCAGAGGGTGAAGATAAGGCAGATGAGGCGGCACCACAGGAGGCTGCTCACTTTAATTTCCTAGTGTTTCCAGGTCAAGATGCAGCAGTGGATGCTCTGCTGTCGATAACGAGGCCGAGTTCTAACGGAACGGAGCAGCCTGGTGTCACAGTGCCTGGCCCTGAAGACAGTGACATGGCCCCATTACTTAGGAGCTGAGTAAATTACTTAACCTTCTTGTGCCCTGACTTCTCTATCTTTAAGGCAAAAACATCAACTTCTTGGGGTGCATTTGTGTGAAAAAGATTTGTAATAATGTATGCAAAGCATGTGGTGTCATGCCTGGCGAGTAAGAGTCACCCAACTACCAAGCAACTGTAGCTACCCAGCCTTAGTACAGTGGGTCTGGGTTTCACCAGTTATGGTACAAGAAACTAAGGTCTTGTGCCAACATGTGTTAGAACTGCAACAAAATCTAATATCCACACAAGGCTTTCCTTTCAAGGGCTTCAAGACAAAGACTTCAGTAAGACAGGTGGTCAGCTACAGTTTACAGGTTTTAAGGCAAGAGCATTAAATGAGTTGTCAGAGTGACACAGCGAGGCCTGGACCGAGGCACAGAGCAGAAATCTCAGCTGTGAGTCCACACATCAGATTCTTGAAGGAAGGGGAGGCCACAGTGCAGAGCATCCTGACTATGGCAACCAGCCTTGTCCAGGGTGGGCAGAGGATGCCTGCCTTCCACCCATCTTCAAGATGTCAAATCTATGGGAGAGGCCACTGAATCACAGACACAGACGGAACCTGGGAAAATCTAGACAGCCTCATTTTCACACATTTTCTTGCCCTACCCCCAGCCCTCCCAATTTAGTCTTCTGATCTCTCTTCATTTTCTTCCTGGTGCTATGTGGTTGGCAAATGTCCTTCTAGGAGAAAACTAGGAAATGCTGACAGGTTGAAGTTCTTTTCTTTTTTGGTTTTTTCAAGACAGGATTTCTCTGTGTAGCCCTGGCTATCCTGGAACTTGCTAAGTAAATCAGGCTAGCCTAGAACTCAAAGATCAGTCTGCCTCTGCCCCCCAAGTCCAGAGATTAAAGGCGTACACCACCACTACTCAGCAGGAGAGGCGAAAGTTCTTAAAAGCCAGTATGAGCACAGGCCCTGGCTAAGCTGCCTGGAGTGTGGGGGTGAAAAAGGGGAGAAACGACAGCCAGGATGGTGGCCCTAGGGCACAGGCACAGCACCTACAGCCCCAAGAAACAGGGTCTGCAGGTAAACCCACTTCGGTGGTCCCCCAGTTCTTGCTAACCTACCAGTGTAGTGCACCAAACAAAGCCCATTTTGACTATGTTTTTCAGCACTCAAAATATTTACCTAAATTCCCTCTGCACAATACCTAACCACGTATGTGACAGAGTCAAGAACAGCTCTTGGGGACTGAGAGGGACAAGAGACAGGAAGCTGGGGAGGGCAAGGGGATTCCTGGGGAAATGGTTTAAAAATCTTTTAAGCTCCTTTAAAAAAATCTCCTTTATTGGGGCTGGAGAGGTGGCTCAGAGGTTAAGAGCACTGGCTGCTCTTCCAGAGGTCTTGAGTTCAATTCCCAGCAACCACATGGTGGCTCACAACCATCCATAATGAGATCTGATACCCTCTTCTGGTCTGCAGGGATATGTGCAGACAGAACACTGTATACATAATAAATAAATAAATCCTTTAAAAAAAACTCCTTTATTCTTATATGTGAGAGAGAATGATATATGCATGGGATGCATGGCACCGTGTGTTTGGGGTCAGAGGTCAACTTTGTACAGTTGTCTTTCTTCCAGATTTACATGAGTTCTGGGAGGGACCTCAACTTGACAGGCTTACATAGCGAGAGCCTCTACCCAACGAGCCGTCTCGCTGTCCCTCCTTTAAGTCCTGAGGTTAAATTCTAAGCACTGTGAAATTTTTTACATTAAAAACATACTTTTTTGGTTTTTCAAAACAAGTTTTGGTTTTTCTCTATGTAGCTCTGGCTGTTTTAGAACTCACTGAGATCCACCTGCTTCTGCCTCCCAAGTGCTGGGATTATAGGCGTGTGCTACTACCACCCGGCTAAAAGTACATGGTCTTTAACAAGGCTTCGTACACGTAGTGGAAAACAACCTCCACCACCACATGGATGCAGCAGAGCTGACAGAATATGGGAGAAAAGCCAGTATTTACCAACGGGAAGATGGGGTTGGAAAGATGGGTAAAGCGTTGAGGCGAGAGCAAGAGGACTGGAATTCAGATCGCCGGAACCCCCGGGGAAAGCCAGACGGACATGACGATCTACCTGTAATCCTAGCAGGAAATTCCTAGAGTGAGCCAGCTAGGAGAAGCAGCTGGAGCAGCGAGCTCCAGGTCTGGTGAGAGACCTTGCCTCAATATATCAAGTGGAGAGTAATAGAGGAAGACATTCAACACCAATCTTGAGCCTCCACATGTACCTGCACACACATGTGAGCACATACACACACCCATACATCCATACATACACAGAAGAGGGGGAGTGGAATGACCAAGTTCTGGGATTACAAATAAAATTATAAGTACTTAAACAATATGAAGGGATGGCTCAATGGTTACACCCACATGGGGGCTTACATTGGTCTGTAATCACTGTTTCAGGTAATCTGATGCTCTCTTCTAGCCTCCACAGGCACCAGGCACATGTGGTGGACATACATACATGAAAGCAAAACACTTATACATATAAAACTTTAAAAAAAAAAATTAAAATACATAATGTGTTCTGTTTTTATAATGTAAAATAGGCATCAATTTGAAAAGGTATTTTTCAGAGTCCCACAATAGAAAATTTACTTTGGCAAAAACAAAAAAAGTTTTTTTTTCTTTTTTGACTAAGTTTTCCATCTTTTCAAAATTGTTTCAAGCCAGACAGTGGTGGCATACGTGCTTGATCCCAACATTTGGGAAACAAGGCAGGTGGATCTCAGTTCCACGACAGCCAGGGATATAGAGAAATCCTGTCTTGGAAACAAACAAAACCACCACCACCCCCAAAAAAAATTGTTTCAAAGTATTACTTGTTTAAAAGATTAAAACCCTCTCAAGTGTTAATCTGCCTTAAATACATCTTGTAAATAATACTTTTTAAAATTTATTTCATTTTCTGTATTTAAGTGTTTTGCCCGTGACTAAGAAAGCAAACCACCTGAGTGCCTGTAGCTGTGGAGACTCAAGGGGGTGCTGGAGCTTCTGGAACTAGAGTTACAGACAGTTGAACAGCCATGTGTGTAAGCCAAGGAGCCAGACCCCGCCTCTCTCTCCAGCTCTCCACCCCCGCTCTTTGGGACTGTAGGGAAGTGCCCTATCACTAAGCTCAATCCTGGCCCTTTTCTGCCTTTTATTTTAAAAGTGTCTCACGAATCTGCCAGGCTTGTCTTGAACTCACTTGATGGCCTAGGAAAGCCTTGGACTTATCCTCCTGCCTCAGCTAACCCAAGCTGCTAATAATGATTATAGGTCTGAGCCACTGAATTCAGCTAACCTTTCTTTCTTTCTTTCTTTTTTTTAAAGGCATGTTTACTTTAGTTAATGGGTCACAATCACTACAAAGGCATTTGTGTGTCACGTGAGACAAGCTGAGAAACTGTCAGGGCGCAATCAGGCTCTGAAAGCAGGAATGTGGTATTTGCTAGCATCTGTGTCAGAGTATCACTGTTCTGGTGACATTTGATTTCTGGACAGAAGAACAGCAGGGGCTTCTTCCTGACCTGGTGAGGGGTGAGCTCTGCACCAGTGTTCACATCTACCAACTGGAAGAACAGGGCGAAGTTCTGATGGCTGTCCGCGATGAAGGTACCCTTGGCTTTGGCTGGGTAGGTCACCCTGAAAGAGATATTACATAGTCAGACTTGATAGGGTCTCCCTGTCTAAGTACAGGCATTTATTGCCCAACTGTCCCTGTCCCATTTTACTACTTCCATGGAATGTACAGCAATATCTGTGGCCTAGAGGCAAAGTCGATCAATAAAGCCGGACTGAAGAGGTGTTTTCTTATCTTTTCTTTTTTTATGGTGCTGGAGCTAGAACTCACAAGGTAGACCAGAAAGCTAGACCAGACCACTAAACTACAATCTCAGCTTCAGGCCAGGACTGAGAAAAGCAGAGAAAACTTGAATCAGGGTCTGGGGAAATGCTGTGAGAATGTGTGCCTCCAGGCCTTACTTCAACGATCCATGCTCTTAACTGGCCCAGCTCAGGTGCAGGAGCCTGTGTGCACCGCTGCAGGGCTGCGGGACGCAGAGGGGCAGCCATGGATCGATGGCGGCAGCAGTGAGGTTCGCAGATGAGCAGGGCGGGGGTGTGAGCAAAGCAAAGAGGGGATGCTGAGCTCTCTCTAGTTTATGCTTTGTTTCCTAGGCTGTTTCAATTTATTTTTCTGCCATGAAATTGGGTTTCAAAAAGTCATTTTCTCGAAAGGTAGACTGACTTGATGAGGAAAGCTGTTTTTTCCATAGCTATCTCCTGGGACTGAAGAGAAAGACAGCCAAGGGATCAACAAGCCAAACGGGTTGAGAGCTCACCCCTGGCTTTGTTTTATACTCTCGCTTTATATTTACTCATCAAAACCAACTCTACAGAGAATTAACTTTGCAAACCACCCTTACAGACATTATTTTAGTGCATTCTCAAATAGTGCTTGTATCTCCACTGTCACTATGGCAACAACCAAGTCAGGGACAGAAAGTCCAGCTCTACATGACTTACAAGGAGTGAGTCTGGCTTAAAGCATTCCCTGCCTTCAAAATAGCTTCAGGGTTCATCTATCTGCCTCTATAGCCACTCCATGGAAGTGAAGCTGAGATCTGAACCACATCTGAGATATAGACAAGCTCCTCTCCACTCCTTCCCCCAAATCGGGATCTAGGTGATGCCGACAAATGGTCTTCAGCAGGCATCCCGGCCAACTCTGATCAAATGTTAATGGCTAGTGCTCACTTCGGCACCATGCGTACTAAAAACTGGTCACATACAGAGAGAGAGAGAGAGAGAGAGAGAGAGAGAGAGAGAGAGAGAGAGAGAGAGAGAGAGAGAGATATTAGCATGGCCCTTGTGCAAAGACGACACGACACACATGCCTAGGCTAAAAAACGTTAATGGTTACCTAGGAGGTTGCATTAAAAACCAAAAACTAAAAGAAAAAAGGACCCTGAGGCTGTGCCTCGGTTCAGCAGGGACGAGCACTGTGGCCCACTAGGGGCGCTTTCTGTGGGTACGGGAGGGAAACGGGAGTCTCAGAGCAAGGTCTAAGGCTTTCCAAGGTCTAAACTTTTCCAAGTTTTTTCCATTGGCCACAATTTCCATGAGGCCACACCAAGAGCTAATTCAGGAATCTGATGATAGGATGGCAGTAAAATACAAATGAATCCACTGTTTCCTTTTTTGAGACTGACTCCTTACTAGAAACAAATGTTATATGAACTAAATAATGTGAATGACCAGTGGACTCCAGATTTAGAGTCTGAGGTAACAAGAGCTGGCTCATGAACTAAACACTAGTACAAACAATCTCCAAGTCTGCTTACATGTCCACCAGAATAGAGCAATACCACTGGAATTGCAGTCTCTTGAATTTAGGATAGGGTGGGGTCACTGCCACCAAGGAAATGCTGCCTGGAGGGGCACAGGGCCTAGTTTTGTTCTTTCCAGCTCTGAATCCTGGGGCTCCCCAGTGCCTAGGTGGCATCACACTTACCGGGTAGTTTTGGGTGCAATGCTCTGATCCTTATCCACAGTGGAAAGGTCAACATTTGTGATGCCAACTTCAGTGGAAATCTTGACTCTAAGCTACAGCAAAACATAGAAGACATTCATCAAGTCAACTGGTGGGTATGAGAGGAGCTACCACATACATCCAAAGTCTGTGCGTGGGTATGGGTGGGTGCGTGGGTCATGCATGTGCGTGTGATGGGATCCAGGATCTCCTGCATTGGTAGGTAAGGACCACCACTGAGTTATATCCACAGACCAACATTTTCTTCTTCCTTTCTTTCTTTTTAAGACAGTCTCATGCAGCCCGGGCTAGCCCTGAACTGTGTAGCCAAGGATGATCTTGCACTTGTGACCTTTCTGCTTCCATCTCCTAAACGCCTGAAGTAGAAGGGTACGCCACCACATTTGGTTTAGTGTGGACTGAGGCTAGGGTTTTCTGTAAAAATGGCAAGTGCTCTACCAGCTGAACTATACCACTGCCTTAAAACGTCCTGTCTTAAAGGTGAATAAAGGCAGGAAAAGAATTCTAGGATACAAGTCTTCAAGACCATAGTAAAAGCAACCTACCAGGCCAGATGGCATTTCTCACCACTCCCATCCTGAGCCCTAAAAGGTGAGACCTTGGCTACTGTGCCTACCTCACTTCTCTGGCTTTGGTATATATTTCAAAAGGAGTAAAAAGAGAGTAAGGATTTTAAAAAAAAATCTTTTAAAATGTGTTCTTTAAAATAAATAAGGGACTGGGTGGTGGTGGCACATGCCTTTAATCCCAGCACTTGGGAGGCAAAGGCAGGTGGATCTCTGTGAGTTCAAGACCAGCCTAGTCTATACAGTTCCAGGATAGCCAGGGCTACATGGAGAAACCCTATCATGGAAAAACCAAATAAATTAATTAATAAGGGAGAATTCCTTACACAGTAATGTTTAAATAATTCATGCCAGTAAGTACTACCAACAGCAAAGATTTAGTATTTAGTCAGCGAAAGGCACTGGCTTTGCAAAGCCATGTCAATCTGCACAACAGGGAGGTAGTGCTGTTTCAGATGAGGAAATCATCATGCTCAGGCACTCAAAATCCACGGCTGAGCTTCCTCACCATTGGCCTCTGGCCTGCTATCAATACTTCATCTGTGCCACGGAGTAACCCTTTCCGCAAAGACAGAAGAGGCCATGGTAGCTCTCCCTACTGTCCATCAAGCAGTCCCATTCTCTACTGTACACGTGTCAGCACACTTGGCTTCTGTCACCTTCGGAGTCTCAGAGGGCACAGGGTTTACTCTGACCAATGAAATGTGAGCAGAAGTGGACTGTATTGTCTCTTTGTGGAAGCCTTAAGAATCATGGACACAGACAATGTCCAGACACAGGCTTGCTCCTTTAGGCAAGCTTCCTGAGTAAGGATGAGATGAAGCAGAGTGACCAACTAACTCACTAAAGACACCTGTCATAGGAAAAAAGAAACCTTGGTTGTTGTAAGTCAGAGAGATCTGGAGTCTGTTCTAAGTGTAAGCCAGACTGTACATAGTGTCTCTTTCTTTATAAACATTTCCAAAAAGAGGAGCTAGCTAATGCCAGGAAATAAGAAAATTTAAAATTAGGTCAAAATAAATGTAAATATCCAAAAGAGACAGAAAACACGTTAAAAAGTCTATTCACTGGAGATATTCCAGTTAAAAATCTAAGTCTGAATGTGTAAATTATGCAAACCCAAAGCACATTTATGTGCAAACGTATCTGTGAGCCTTCCAAACACGATAGGCTTTGAGTGTAACTCAGAGAAATCCTAGGCAAATCCAACGGTTTCGTCTAAGCGTCAGGATCAAGCAATAGAGAGTGGGCTGTGCAAATAATGAAAGGAGAACCTTATTTTCCAAGATGCCACATCAAGGTATGACAGCAGCAAATCAAAGCCAAAAAAGGAAGAACCAAAGTAATCCTCCGTAGTAGTCTTCTCTCCTGCTCCAATAAAAACTGCTGTGTGTCAGTGGCCTCAATTATCTGGCTGAATAGAGTCTTCTGTTTTCTTAAGAAAACTTCTGAATGGGAAAGATTTATCAGAAGCTGTGGGGCATTACCTCTTCTTGTGTACACACAACCATTTACTGGCAGAACTGTATTTGGCATCACAGCCTGGCAATGAGCTAGGCTGGGTAGTTATGGCAGCAGAGGAAGGAGAGGCAGGCCATCAGCTGGAACAGGCAAGCCATGGAAAAAAGCCTCCACATTCCTCACCACTCACAGGGTTCAGAACTAGAGCAAGCTTTCCTATACACAGTCAGGTCCAGAGAAGTTCTTGGCAACTTCTTCAAAACAGGGTTTCTCTGTGTAACAGCCCTGGCTGTCTGGGAACTCGCTCTGTAGACCAGGCTGGCTTCCAACTCTGAGGTCTGCCTGCCTCTGCTTCCCGAGTGCTGGGATTAAAGGCATATGCCACCATCTCGTGGCAAATAATATACCTCTTTTTAACAAATGATCCCTCCGCTGCCCATAAAAAAGAACATGTTTAGCTGTTCCCCACCTCGACTATTTTTAAAAAAGAGTTATTTTGCCAGGTGGTGAGTTTGAGGACAGCCTAATCTACAGAGTGAGTTCCAGGACAGCCAGGGCTACACAGAGAAACCCTGTTTAAAAAAAAAAACAAAAACAAAAACTAAATAAAAAGGTTTATTTTTATCATTTAAAATTATGTGTATGTGTCTGAATGTGGGTGTCTACACATGAGTACAGGTGTCTGTGGAGGACAGAGACATCAGATTCCCTGGAGCTGGAGTTCCAGGCAGCTGTGAGCTGTCTGATGTAGGTGCTGGGAACTGAACTCAGGTACTCTGGAAGAGAAGCAGGTACTCTTAACCACTGAGCCATTTCTCCAGCTTCATCTTTTACTTTTCCTTAGCATCCAAGAAACTATTAGTGATAGTTTTCTTAAGAGGACTGAATTGAGAGAATGGGGAAGGGGGTAAGACTCATTCATTATACTTTTTCTGTACTTTGAAAACAAGCACATATTTCACATATATATTTAACTCCTGTGTTTAAAATACTAGGATAATCTGGACAATGTGGGTCATATACAGCCTTTTTGTTTGTTTTTGTTTTTCCAACACAGGGTTTCTCTGTGTAGACCTGGTTGTCCTAAACTTGCTCTGTAGACCAGGCTGGCCTCAAACTCAGAGATCCACCTGCCTCTGCCTCCTGAGTGATGGATTAAAAGCATGCACCACCACCGTCCAACTCTATATACATTATTTTTAAATTTAAAATAAAAAAATTTCCGGGCTGGAGAGATGGCTCAGAGGTTAAGAACACTGGTTGCTCTTCCAGAAGTCCTGAGTTCAATTCCCAGCAACCACATGGTGGCTCACAACCATCTGTAATGAGATCTGATGCCCTTTTCTGGCTTGCAGTCATACATGCTGTATACATAATTAAAAAAAAAAATTCCCAAAATTTTGATCCTATTTTTTCCCTTCTCCCAACTCTTCCCAGATCCTCTCCACCTTCCTACCCACCCAACTTCCTGTTGTTTCTTTCTCTCAAAACAAGCAGAAACAGAAACAAAACAAAAAGACATGAAAATGGGAGGGGAACGTGTAGGGAGAAATTGACAAGGATGGGAGGGGACTAAGAGGGTGGGGGTGAATGTAATAAGAATGCATTATATACATATATGAAATTGTCAAAGGGTAAGTTTAAAAATAAAGCATCACCCAATAAATATATTCAAAACAATTATTTTACTCTCAGCAGACGAAGACAGATAAATGGATGTTTAAGGATCATACAAGGCTCTTCGGAGTATCCAGAACATAGCAGTAAGGAAGTCACCACATTTCTTAACCCTGAGTAGTAACATAGCCATCAACGCCTGCTCATTGAGATCCCACTGAAGGTCTATCTGGAGGAGCCACCGTGAGCATTCCCAGACTATATGAACACATGGAATGCACGCAAGGGCAAACTAGTGAACTAATTTTGGTTTGTTTTCCTATTTCAAAAAGCTGCCAAATAACAAGCTCCCTTGCTTCACAGAAACACTGCAGGGTTGTTAGCGAGCAGAGAGCAGTTTAAAACAAATCTTCTTGCTTCTAAAATCTCACTACAAATGGAACTCTGGAAATACTCTGGAAAATCATTTCATGCCATTCTTTTAGAGCAAACTGTACGATAAAGACCACAGCTTTCTCAGGCTTGCTTTAAGGGTTTGGTGCAGGGTCCCTGTTGTTTAGCTCTTCCTTCAAACCAGTGCTGTGGGGTCAGTCTCAAACGGGAAAGGGCTGGGTGCCACTGGAATGCAGCTGGGCCTGCTTTACACGGGAGCAAACTTTGGTTGTTTGCACTGTATACCACATACATCCCCCCAAATGTTCCAACACCAGGAAGTGTGGTCTCTCTGCTGAGAGTGGGAACTTCCTGTTTGGCTTATTACTGTCAAAAATGATAGTGCATTAGGGACGATTAATGCTAAGGAGAGCTTCCAAAGCCCATGCTTCCCCTGACAGCCAGTCCAATGTCAATGGTGCTATTACAAACTTCTACACAAAACCACCACTAATGCATGCTGACCAATGTCGGCATCTCTAAAGGGGGAAAACAGGACTTGCTGACCTGCTCTGAGGCTTTAAATATGACTATTACTGAAATTACACAGTCAATCTACACATATAGCAAAAGAAATCAAAGTACATGTACCCACATACAAATGGACACACACCAAGTCCCCACGTGATAAAGTGGGAGAGAAATTTTTTCCTGCTTATGCCATCCCTGGGAAGGGGAAGGACAAGGACAATAAATGGCCTCAATAAGGGGTGAAGGGCTGACAATTGCTGCATGAACAGCTATTAGACAATTCTGCTATTTTGTGCTCAGTTTTTCCAACAACTACAAAAACACTTGGACAAACACCAGACCTGACATTACAAGAAGCCAAGCTGTTATAATAACCCATAGGGTAGTACAGGTACACAGACAAAAATAGATCAATAGGATTGAATTTTGGGTCCAAAAATTAACTCTTAAGTTTATGGCCAATTGAGTTCTGACAATGTCAAGAAAATTCAATGGGCAAAGAATAGTCTGCCACAACGGTGCTAGGACAACTGGGTATCCATATCCAAAGGAAAGAGGTTAGGTATGCACAAAACCGATCAGTGACCTCAGTTTAAAAGCTTTTGGAATTATAAAGCTCTTATTAAGAAACATTTCGATGATCTTAACTTAAGAAATTATTTCTTTAATAGTATCTAAATCAAAAGTAACAAAATAGAACACAGATAAGTAAATTAAAATATTTTGCATTTAAAAAGCTAGTATCAAGAAAAGATGAAGACAGCTTAAAGACTGGGAGAAAATATCTGCAAATCATGCATCTGAAAGGGAGTTATAGGCAAAGATCTATAAAGAACTCTTCTAAATCAAACATTTAAGAGAGAGAGAAATGGAAATAAGCGGTACTGGGGTGGAGGCGGGGCTGGAGAGAAGGTTCCGCACTCAAGAGCCCCGGGGTGGAGGCGGGACTGGAGAGAAGGTTCCGCACTCAAGAGCCCCACTCTTGCAGAGCAGCTGGGCTTGATTACTAGCACCTACATCTCCCTCGCTGACAACCATCCTAGCTCCAGTTCCTGGGGATCCAATGCCCTCGTCTGGACTCCGTGGGTACCAGACATACTTGGTGCCCTTGGCTAAATGCAGGCAAAACACTAACATACATAAAAATAAACCTTCAAAACAAAGAGGGTGGGGAATAAAGACAAAATCCCTTGTAGAGTCTCATTAGGTAGCCCAGGCTAGCTTTGAAGTCATGATCCTTCTGCCTCTACCTCGTGAGCAGCATAAGTCAGCACACCTGCCTTAAAGGTCTTTTTTTTTTTTTTGTCTTAAATCAATAAGCAAAGGATCTACATAGACATTTCTTCCAAGAAGATATACAAATACAGTCAGCAATGGTGGTATATGCCTTTAATTCTAGCACTCAGGAGGCAGAGGCAGGTGAGTCTCTGTGAGCTGTGAGTTCGAGGCCAGCCTGGTCTACAGAGTGAGTTCCAGGACAGCTAGGGCTACACAGAGAAACCCTGCCTCAAAAATCCAAACCAAACCAAACCAAACAGAACAAAAAAAATGATGGCAAGGATGCAGAGAAACTACAACCTTCAACCAAAGCTGGCTGGAATGGGACATAGTGTGCCTGCTCTGATCCTCCAAGTAAGGCACAGAGCTACCATGTAACCTAGCAGTTCTAGTCCTAAACAAACAGAGAACAAATGTTTCAACAGAAACTTACACATGAATGTTTACAGCAGCATTATTTATAAGAGCCCCAAAGTGAAAATACCCAGGCTCAGAATATGTGAGGCCCTGGACTCAATGATCCCTAACATGCACAAACACAGTATAAAGTACAAGTATCAAATATAAATAAACAACATGTTTGTCAGACACAAAAATAAACAAAGTACTTAAACATGCTAAGTCACAGATAATTCTAAAAATACTGCACTAAGTGAGAAAAAAATCCAAGGCAGAAGTTAACATAATGTGTGATTGCAACCATATGAGCATCCTGAAGAGGCCAACCACAGAAAAAGTCATGTGTGGATGCCAGGCTGAAGCAGGGGAGACAGGAGAAT